TTTTTACAAGGAGTAATGTGTACAAGTTACTTTCCGGGAGATTCCGATTGGACACGAGAGGTAAATTTTTCACAATGAGAACAGTCAATCATTGGCATAATCTCCCCAGGGAAGTGGTTGACTCCACTATGCTAAACATGTTTAAGACTCAGCTAGACATGGTGTTGGGCCATCTCGTCTAGATTGTGCGAGAAAGGTTGGACCACATGATCCTTGAGGTCCCTTCCAACCTGGTATTCTATAATTCTATGAAATCAAGATCAGTATATTCCCACACCTGTGTCTGCAGCATTATTGGTGCTCATACAATCATAAAAGGAGCTGATGGAGGTGAAAACTAAATATATCAATATAGTGACTAATTTTTGGATTGTGTGGCCATGAACATAGGTGGAATTAAGGCAGCTCAAATCTGGATCAGCTGCAGCAGTACTGCACACAGGTTTACAGTTTCACACTGTACTTAATGTGGTAAATTTACACTGCTGCCAAACAGGGTGGACCCACTCTTCTACCCCTTTATTGTGCAAATCTTCATTCTCTGTCATTTGAGTCAGATCTGGCAATCTGTTGCTTTTGAGTTGATTCAACAATCTGATCTAACAAAAATCACCAAGAAGATTGCTAACTTTCTGTCAGAACAGCTTGTTAAATATGTTCACCTTGCAGTTATATCTGTTTTATCTGACTGAAGGCGAACAGCAGAAGTATATTGTGAAAGACAGAACTCGCCCCTTTACAGTTAGACTAAATTGCATACAAAAAATTGGGTAGACTTTCCAGAGACTGTTGACAGTTTAGTTAGCAGCTTACTACTGTCAAAAGGAGGAAGTCCCACTTCCCCTCTGGCTTACATTGACATCATTTGATCACAAAAAGCTGGTTCAACTCACCAAGAAGAGACTGCAACCCCACCAAAAAAATTTTTTTCTTTTTTTCATTTGCAAGATTAGTTTTTCAAAGCATACCCCCTGAGCAAATCAAATGAGCAGAACAAAGGGAGGAAAAGCTAGACCCCACATTTTTCTAAGGATAACTCAGCTGTGCCTCATGATGTGTTTATTACTTGATTAGTTGGCAGAGGGAATTAATTTTAAATGACAATCAGCTGTTTCTCAGTATTGCCAAATTACTATTTAGTATACTGCTAAACCTGTTCTCTGTTAACACAGTGTGCTGGTTTTGGCTGGCGTAGAGTTAATCTTCATTATAGTAGCTAGTATGGGGCTATGTTTTGGATTTGTGCTGGAAACAGTGTTGGTAATTCAGGGATGTATTAGTTACTGCTGAGCAGTGCTTACACAGAGTCAAGGCCTTTTCTGCTTCTCAGCCCACCCCACCAGCAAGTAGCTGGGGGTACACAAGAAGCTGGGAGGGGACACAGCTGGGACAGCTGACCCCAGCTGACCAAAGGGCTATTCCATACCATATGACGTCATGCTCAGCATATAAAGCTGGGGGAAGAAGGCGGCCAGGGGGGATGTTCAGAGTGATGGCATTTTGCCTTCCCAAGTAACTGTTATGCGTGATGGAGCCCTGCTTTCCTGGAGATGGCTGAACACCTGCCTGACGATGGGAAGTAGTGAATGATTCCTTGTTTTGTTTTGCTTGTGCGTGCAGCTTTTGCTTTACCTATTAAACTGTCTTTATCTCAACCCACGAGTTTTCTCACTTTTAGTTTTCTGATTGTCTTCCCCACCCCACAGGGGGGAAGTGAGCGAGCAACTCTGTGGTGCTTAGTTGCTGGCTGGGGTTAAACCACGACACACGGTAATTTCTTGTAAATCATTTCACTCAGTTCAAAGGGTCACTGGTTTGTACAGCTAGTGGAAAAGAAAGCCAAAGCTTTATAACCGCTCTGTCAATCAGTAAAGCATCAAGCCCCATTCTTTTTGCAAAGCCATACGTAGGCATGTTACTGGAAAGCCTCAGCTATACAAAGGTTGTCTGGGATTTTTTTGAGTAGTAGGAGTTTCATAGCCTGTAGAGTAGGGGACTAGTAATGGGTAACTGGAAAAAATAATGATGCCAAAGCTTAGGTTTGGCTGTTAGGGAAGCTGAGAAAATTCAAAGCAAAAGCAGTTATGAGCAAGGAAAAAAAAGCAGTCAGAGTACCAGGATATTTGAAATAGATTTGTTTAGTTCATTCTTGGGAACTAAAAAAAAGAAGAGAGATTGCCTTTAACCTGGGAGATCTGATTCTTTAAGCAGCCCCACAGGAAGAGGGAAGGCAGTAGAGGGATAAGCAGATGATGCTGCCTTGAAGAAAAACATCCATAAAACCATGTCTATTTTATGAAGAGAACTGAGCACAAGTTTCCCCCCAACCTTCCCTACATCTGACTCTGGAGAGCACATCAGGAAAATCAGTGCTCAGCTTTGGAACTTGAATAGTCTCAATGTGAATCAGGTTAGGGTTTATGCCCTAGATTCTGACCCAGGTAAAACATATAATATGTATCCACTCTGAGAACCAGGTTTCTGTTTCAAGCAACAAACCATCCCACTTACAGATTGAACACCTTTGGCTCACCAACAATCTCAAAACAAAAACGAGTCCCTCACAGCTCTTGGATTTCATATGAGAATATGGCACAATGTCCTTCTTAGATGTGTGAAAAGAGCACGTGTAACGCAGCACTATATAACCCTTGTTAACCAACAGAGCGCTGGCAAATACTACCAAAATCTAGCTGAGCTGCCTAAGCTATTTATTTGGTACTACATCTGCCTACGCGTAACATAGGAAGAACACTACACATATCCTGCTGATCTGTTTATTTAATGCAAGTGCTATGCACCATACGCCTATAAACCGAGGAACTCTTCCAAAAGAAGGAGCAGAACTTGAGACCCTGTCCCAGTGCTCTCCATTATAGTTCAGTGGGACTTCCATGCACAAGGAAGGAAAGACACGCCCAAGATTTAATACCGTTACTGTTTTAATCCACATCAGTAGAGAAACTTCATTTGGCTGTTTGAGGCATTCAGGATTGTGCAAAGCTTCCATGCTTTTGGTCTTCTAGCAGTCATAGTAATTTTATAAAAAATACTAATCAGATCATAGCCACATAAAGATATGTCCTTTTGTTTTCCTAAAGTATTTAATTCAAATATACCTTTTTATACTGGTAGCAGTTTACATAAATTTTAAATGAAGACAGCTGTTCTGGACATGCTATACATACTAAAGCAAAAGATTTTAGAGAGGCGTACGATCTTCCTTAGGTTGAGGGTATTATGCTTAAAGCTTTCTGTTTGGTAAATATACTAGGATAAGAGTACCGATTTTAAAAACATCCTCTCAAAATAGTTGTATAAATATACTTCACTTAATTTCTAATTTAAGAGGTGCTTGTCCTTAATCCGGTAAATGTTTATTTTCAAGCTTTCAATTCTACAACTTGCATTTATGCGCTACCAAATTTTATAGTTGAATACTTCTTTCAATGGAATGTAACTTCAAAGATGTAGGTTTTTTTAAAATCACAGTTTTAAAGACTTTTTAAAGAAGTCTTTAAAAAAGTCTTTAAACTACCCATTCAAACAAACTGAGGAAAGGAAATCAAACGACATAGGAAGCTGCAAGTCAGGAAAAGGACGGGACTCAAGAACACTTTTGTTTTTACTTCCTGGTCATGAAAAACATAAACAGAGATACTTTATAAAGACAGTTACTTAGAATAGACACTACAGTAAGCTTCTAAGTACAGATGATCCTCCAGTGCCTATGCTTACCTAAATAACACGGTCTGATATAACCCTAAGAAAGGCTCATTTGTGAAGAAAAATCAAAATAGGGAAACTTCATGAAAAGTAAGCATGTAGATCTCTTTACATCACCACCAATCACAAAAAAAGGGTTATGAGCACAAACTAACATCAGACAGTTTCTTCTCTTACTTTAAAAATGCTAAACCCACGAAACAGAAAAACTAGACAAACTTGCTCATTCCACTGTGAGTGCTCTGGATTACTGATTATAGACATTATGAAGTACATTTCTCCCTAGGTACAATATCTACGCTGGCAACTCGCTTAACAGTGGAGAATGCAGTTTCACTGAAAATCAGGTAGTGCCTTCTATCAAATTAAGAGGTAACAGAAATTTATGGGCAGTACAAAAACTTTTCCCACATTGCACAGCAGTTTTGTAGCACAAAGCATAAGACAACTGAATGATTACAAGTAAATCTCTAGAAATTCTTTTTTGTGCCATTAAATGAGGTTACCATGGGCTCACCTTCCTCAATTACAAAATATACAAAATCTCAGTAAATCAACCCTCAAAAGGCATTAGTGCTGCGTGTAGGCTTAGGGAAGTAGTTGCACTGGGGTAATTACACATTAACTACCTAAGAACATACATTTCCTTTCAGTCCAACATGCCCATGTGTTCATCACTGTTATATCAGCATAAGTTTTCCTACTATGCATAAGCGCTTAGAAAAAACTGTTTTCTTCTGGATTTTTTACAGTGTTACTACCTTCCAAGTTGTTTCTGGAGATCCAACATATATTGGTAACATTGTGCATAATAGGTCATCTGAGCTTCAACAAAATCATTCAGACAGCGAAGATGATGTGCCTATAACACAGAAAAAAAATTAAAAAGTTTTTAGTCTGTAAAAGTACTATGCTGCATTAGAAAGACTGGTCTCCTAATCAGGTGCTAATGCCAATATTTGCACATAGGGATTTATGCCACATAGGCATAGTGCCTGAATTTACCAGGTAACTGGGATAAAATGTCACAAAAATTAACATATTTGAGCACAAAAAATAGGTGCTGTACAAGCATCATGCCATTTACCTATATTGTTTCCACAACAGAATAAATATTTTAGCACGTTTCTGTGGTTTCAACATTCGGTTGATCTGATGAATAGGAAGTTGAGTTCAAGGGATAAAAATGAAAGCTCCTGCATTCTGAAGGTTAAGGGGAAACTAAACTTAAATTCAGTGGATACTAAACTAGAATTCAAAAAATAAAGAACCCACAGTTGTTTGATGCTTTAATGTCTTAAAGCGAAAACTTTTAGCCCAAAGTTCCCAAGTAGTTTACTGTAGTTATTTTTAGAAAGTGCCCTGATTTTGACTTTCCCCCTCTACCCCGTTTGGGTACTCACATGCGTGCTGCTGATTCCTTCCAGCAGAAGTCTGGTAATCTCTGCCTGACGGTCAAATTCGCTCTGAGTAATTCGCACTTCCTGTTCAGACTAGAAGTAAGGACGCACATTAGGTATTTGTACAATGCACTCTGTTGCACCTTCCAACCATTCCATTCAGAGCTACTCGTACAAATGCATTAATCACAAACTTAGGTGTTTGAAACACGTGCTTTTTCTTTGCAGACCTTTACTAGGCAAAAACAGGAATCGCATTTTGGGTTCTGAAATGTTGAGGCCTTGTACGCAAAACAAACAGCTTTATCATCAGACACCTACCACATGGAGTCAATGCAGGCAAAAGGAAGGCATTTTTCTGCCAGCAGTATTACCCCACCTCTCCCAGTAACAAACCAAGCGTTCATCAGCATAACAGTGTCTGCACCAGGGGTTCTGCCAGTATAGCAGTGGCAGCCAAGGACAATGTAATTTTTTTCCATGCTTCAAGTTAACAGGGCTCTGACCATATAATTCAGGGTAAACCTCACATTATTTTTGTCAGGTAACTGCACGGCAATCAGCTGTACATAAATCTTTGACGGTAAGTTTTAACAGGATATTTCATAAATTAACGTCTCATATTGGCCACCAAGCTACTACAACTATTTCTGGAGCTTGTAATGAGATGTCTTTAAAAATAAATAAATCCAAACTATAGCAAATGTTCTAACTTCAATTAGAGTAACATTTCTATTAAAATTATTGGATTTAAGTTTCATATTTAAATAATTCCAATTCAAATTTATTTCTTGTTACATATCATTATCAGCAATTTTTAAATAAGTTAACGTTATTGCAGTTTTAATGGACTCCCATCTAGCACAAGGCAAAACTACTTTAGAGTATTTTGGGGGGAAGAAAAAAAGGACACTACTCAAAACACACAAATACATAAAAATATGTGTTGTAATATCTAAGATTTACTGTTCCAAGATAGAATGTCCTCAGCCTGGAATCTGGATTACTTTGCCTCAATGCTTATATGCATTTAGTACCTTGTTTCTAAAAACAAAATCAAAGGCAAAAATCTGCATTAAGGCCAAGATACAGCAGTTACTGTCCTCAACAAAACAGAGTAAGGAAATACATTTTCAGGAAACTTAATGAGGTGATACTGATAAAACATTGGTTTCAAAAGGATTTTATGTATTTGCAAACATTCTGCTTCTGTATTCCACTAATGTTAATCAATACGAAAAGTCACATGGAGGGATCTTAATCTCAGAAAGGAGCACAGAAGAATGATGCAGTTACCCAAGAAATGTTTTTCATGTGAAGTCACTGCAGCTGAGAAGGCTTACACATTAATTAAACAGTGAGTAAGCAGCTATAGAGTACTGCGTTTCTTAGTTAAAACTGAGATACCAGGGTATGTATCAACTTACAAAGTAATTAGGTTTTCAAAGTTTGCTGAGGCAAGAATCTTTGCTTGGAATTTTCCTATTAAATCTGTATTAATATCAGTGAAATCCATCTGGCAGTCCCTGAGAGAAATGTAGGAACAAACAGGGGGAAAAAGCAAATCTGACAGCCAAGAGGAGAAGAAAAACATTCCCTTCTGTATTAACATCATCTTCATTTCCTTTAAAAAAAAAAATCAGCAAAAATCATAGGTAAACCATTTATCTGAAGACAAATAGTCTAGTCTCTTGCTTCTCTGAAGCTACTGTGTTTCTTTCTTCCTGCCAGGTAAGTAAAAACATAAGAATAGGAACTTATAAGAAGGGGAAATATCCACCAGAATAATTCTATTTGTTTCAACAATATTTTAGCAAATCAACTACTTTCTTTAAGAAAAGGCAAATCGAGTAATGTGGTAACACGTATTAACTTAGCGAGTACAGAGTGACTTTAAATACATTGCTTTACAAAAGCCCGATGTACTGGTTTTGTAGAGATTTACATAAACTGAATTATGTGATGATGTGTTTATTTGTCCATTCCTATTTTCAGTACTACTAGGTGAACAGTAATAGGACAGTGTATCTATTCTTACACCTTGTGGTAAACGTGGAAAACAGCTGACTTTCAATCTGGGAAGCTTATGGCCTGATCACCTTCGTTTCTGAACAGAATGAAGAGTTCAAAATAAAAGCTGAAACTTTCCAGTGATCCCCAGTGCAGTCATATTTTGTTTTTAGAACAATTAGAAGGCCTCACTGGGTATCTCCCATGAAGATCCCTCAAAACGGTACTTGCTCCCCAAATTCACAATATGAACATTCAGAAGTTCATAATCTCCCCAAATTTCATATAAGAATATATGACCTCTCAGAAATACTATAGCTAGGATATAGGATAACTCACAATCACAAGTGCATAGGAAATAAAATCACTTTCCTAATACTGTTTTGTTAGATGCACTATTAGTAGAACAGTGATAACGGATATATTCATGCTACCCAATATAGCTGGGCCTCCTTGTCTCCTTTGCAGTCAAAGGCAGGCAGGAGCTCCTCTTGATGCTCCAAACCAGTCTAACCTCAGCGTGCTGAATACACGCTAAAAGCCTCTGCTCTTTCCATTGACTACACCAGACACCTCAGAAGGCTCCTAACAAAATTCATGTTTATAAAGTGTGTAACATTAGTACCTACCCCTTGTGTTTTATAGTACAGTATTTAATATCCTCCAATTCCACATTTCAGAGGGGAAGTTAAACCGAAGAGAGTCTGTCATTGAAACCACGCAGATCTTTTGTTCTAACTCAAAAAAACCCTGTAATTGATCTAGAGATTACTGGACAGTCTGAAATCCTTGTTGGGAAGCTTCTTAGATTTAAATTGAAAACATCTATGTATATCTTCCTCCAACTTTCCAACACAGAAGGACAGATTGCCTTTAGAAACCTGGATGGATTACTGTTCCTTTGGCAGAATATGTGTGTTGTACTTTCTTCTCAACACTCTCTGCTTTTTATATGCTTAATAAAAAAAGCAAACCCTGAATTACATAGTTTATTACAAGATTTAAAGCTTTTTGTTTCCTTTATGCTATGGTTAAGCACTTTGTATTATTTCTTTTTCTCTCCAAGACACAATGTGTTAGATCTCACTATCCTTAAAGTTGCTTGTCATCACCTCTGAAAAGAAAATAGTTTTATTCATCGTTGTCTTGTAGCTTCAGAATTAGTTTTTCTTACAGCACTATTCCTCCCCTGACATCTTTTTCCCAAAATAGTACCATGTACTCCAGCAGACAGGTTTGCTGCTTCCAAATTGTTACTTTACTTAAATAGTAAAATAATTCTCAAACTTTGGGATCAAAGTTGACCTAACCCTCCTTTTACAGTTCAATCTCTAAACTCCTTCTTCCCCCTAAACTCTCACACTCTACACATATACGCCCCTGTTTGCACCATAACTCACAGAAAGTTGGAACAGAAAAAGCCTTCATTTATTTTCTCTCACAAACCCCAAGATTTCACCCAAAGCTCCATATCCCTGCTTCTAATAGCAACTCCCTACACCTCCCACAGCTGCCTATCTAGTCCCCCTTTAAAAACCATACTCCAAAGCCCCTGCCCTCCAGCTACCCTTACTTCCTATTGCTACCCTTAATTTTTATTTCCCCTCCTCCACAGAAATCCCCTAAGAAGTTTCTTCTTAACCATTAGCACAGCTTCTCACAGCCCGTTCCCAATACTGCTTTGACAGAGCCAGTGAGACTGAGAACAGCCCTTCTTGCTTCAGAGCAGCTATCGCCTAACACCCCATCAGCTCCACGGAGTTTGTCCCTGTGCAAAGGGATAGCATGACAAGAGAAGACTGCAGCCCCCACCCCAAGGCTAATGCTGTATTTATGAACCAGCCTTCAGCCCAGGTGCAGTTTTCAGATGTGCCTACCTCCTAACTTCAGTTGCTTAAGATAAGCACAGTATCCTCTAGTGACGCTGGGGAGAAAGGTGAGGAACACCCCACCCCTCCCCCTCCAAAAAAACCAACCCACAGATTTTTCTCTGAGTTTCTTGCATGCACTCCAGCATTTTAGTTACTGTTCTGTGTTCTGGGTAACAGTTGAAGATCAGCGTTTTTCAGGACAGTTTAGATTACTAGACTCTAACCTTTCAGAAAATTTTCAAATAAGCTCATTCTTAAGAGGTCATTCTTAACAGGATACCATACCAGTAAATTTTGTGAGACAAGTCCTGCAGTTCTTCTATCGTATCTTGTCACATGAGACTCATATGGTACTAAGTGACAGTCAGCTTACCATAAAACAAGCCCCAGGCATTGTGTCACCACTGGAGTTTGAAAGGCCCTAGAGGGAAGCAGTGTATTCTGATGTGATGCATCAGGCTGCCAGCGTTAGAGCGAAATCAACAACATGCAATATCCTTTATTACATTAGACCAGCTCAAGTTATGGTTTCAGAATTCTGCAGTTTCTAAATTGTTTACTTACTTTCGTCACTTCCTCAGCCCATATCTAGTCAGCATTAAGAGTGGGGGGAAAAAAATAAAAACATACAAACTTAGACATTGCTGGTACTTTAATACAGGATGCAACCACACTTTGGGTTTTAACTAATTTCCTGTCCTCAGAACTTCACAGGGACTTGAGGAGTGCTATAAGTCAGTTGCCCAAAGCCCTTCATATACAATGAAACTACATGAGTATGGATAGCACTACATCTGTGAAATAAAGTAGATACTGAAGAGTGTATGACTTTTAGAATTTACATGTTACGTGAATCTATTTAAACAAGATATTACAACATAAGACGTAACTACTTAGAAAATGACATGAATCAGACAAACTAAACTACCTTATGGAGGAATTTAAAGTTACCTTACTATGTTAAAATAATATAAAATGTTTCCATAATACGGAAAACTATGGAAAGCTATTCTCATTTTAACACCACGTTAAGTAAAGACTGAAACAGACGAATGATTTCTCTTGCTAATTCCATTACCAGTTTGCTATTTCACAAGCATTTTTATTGAAACCTAAATTTAATGAAAAATGCTACAGAGGTATCTCAAACTGAGCATTAAAGTAGTAGCAAGTAGTACAGCAAAATCATAGGAATTTGCTCTAGAAGTTAATTACTTCAGCTTGCTGTTCCAATTCCCTCTTGCAATGCAGTTCTTTAAAAACCTTCATTTTCTGCAGTTGTAAGGTGACAACAAAGATCAGGACTTCGGTAGGAAGAAATGTGCATAAAGGTTGCAGAAGCAAGTTGTAACAAACAAGTTTATGTGCTGTTTTATCTGATCACGACTGAGAAATCTGGAACACTAATTGAGATGAGACGCACCATGCTGTGCAGATCCAAGACCCAAACCAGGACAGGCTGAACAGCACAGTCTATGTTGTACATAATTAACCCCTTCCTTTTCCACTTTCACAATTATGGTGCTAAAACCAGCTGCATTAATGAGTCCTTGCAACAAGTTTAGAATATACCGTACTCTAAGTTAGGCCATTAATTTATGTGACATTATTCAGTTTCAGTTAATTGTAAAACATTGCTTGAAGGGAATAATTTCTACATATTCCTGGCTATTTCACATAATTCACTCCTACTCATACTAAAAAAAAAATAGGAAAATTAAATAATTCCTTTCCCTCCAATGGGTGAAATTAATTTCAGAAGTGATAAAAAAAAAATCAACTCCTTTGCATCCTAAGTTTACATTCATAAACTCATAGAAATTAGAATGTAATACTGTATACTTCAGATTATCAAAAATATTCTGATAAAAACAACGTCTAATGCTGTACTGACGTAAGTGTATTTAGGACACTGTACCAATCCAGTTTGGAATGGAAAACATCTGAAACAAGACCAAATGAGCTGGATAGCAAGAGGAAACATTTGACAGGAAAATGAATGAACACAGGAGGCCAACAAACCTTTAGCCATTTTACATGCAGCAAGTTGAGCACGTAAGAGACATTTACCATAATGTTATTCTCTTCAGGCTGAGAGGTGTTTAGTTGCTTAAGTGCATAGATAAAAGACAAAAGCAAGTTACAACACTGTGAATATAGCAGGTGAACAGATTATTGGCACGAAGCACTGCAAGCTTAAGCTAAGCAAGACTGTGAACCGAATATAGATAAATAAAACTGTTTAGGTTTCTATTTTAAATACTGATCTAAGCTAATTCAGTTGTACAGTAAGCATGGGAGAAGGTAATTTCATCAAATATTAAATATTTTTATAACAGGGGAAAAATAATCAAATGTAGGTGCAATGTATCACTTTATCCTGTCAAAGAAAGTAGTGAAACACAAAAGTTTGCGTCATAACTCAATACACTTTGCTAACCTATCACTGTTTGTCAGATATCTTCCTTCATAAATAAATGAGCCAGCAGAAGATGACCTATCTGCATCACACCTCCTATATCCAGGTTAGTCCTCATTTCTATATTGCAGAGGATCAAGTAGAGATGCAAGTTTTTCACTTCTCTGGGAATTCTACAATCCAATACTTCTTAAGCATGCACAATACTGTTAAAATGTAATTAAAATTGAAGTATTGGCAAGGTAGCGAAGTAAGAGGCCTAGAGTTTCATGCTCTACCAGCACTAAATTATTTGTGATAAAACTGTGAATTACTTGCTATATGATATTTAAGACTGGTCAAGTAGTAGCGGCAGCAACTGGCAACAATTTTGTCCAAGCACCAAGCTCTGGATGATTACACTGTTGATAGAACTAAAACTCAAGTACAGAGCCTTTCTTTTAATACTAAGCTCAAGGGGAACAATTTCCTTATGGTCTTCCTGTTGCTTTAGAAAGTAATGTATATACCTGCTACCACACCACAAGAACATTAATAACCAAAATACTTTTTTTTTTTTGGAAACTTAACTCTGAACAAATCCAAGCAAAGAAGTAGTTTACTACCCATTGCTTCCAAATTCCACTACTACCTAACTAAAATCTTGCTCTGCTCTCCACTGTTAGTTTTACAAATTAAGAAAGCTTGACAAGTAGAGAAGTAACTTCTTTGCATAAAATCTATAAGTGGAAATACATGCATGGACTTCAGAGATAAAGACAATTCAAATACACACAGACCACGTGCATTACATGGAAGATTGAGACACAGAAGCAGAACTGTCAGGTAGAGATTATGTTGGTTTTTTTAGAAGGATCACCATCCCAAAGATGCAAGGTGCTTCATCTAGGAAGCTCAGTCTCAGAGATGACGCTTCTAAGATCTTTCAGGACAGTGATCCATTCGGAAGATAGAGCCACCAATATCCGACAGTCCCACTTCTGACTCTTCATCATGTACACAGTCCCTGTGTATTTAAATTGTCTGTATTCCTTCCGCATTGTGTGCGTGACCCCTACTGCATTAAGGCTCACAGGAAAAATCACTATCCATGATTAACTGCTGCACTTTTAGGAATGCAGTCAAAAGATAGCTATGAAAATACCATGAGCATACCCTGCTGAAATTGCATAAGTTGTAGTAAATAATATAGAAAGACTAAGCTACAAATATTTTTGATATAGAGAAGTTAAGTCTAGATAGGTTTGTCAGTTGGAAGTAATTATACATATGCTTCAACACTTGCAGAGATTCAAATGCCAAAACTTGACCTCCAAACGATTTGTATTTACAACCATCTTGGCAGATTGCAGCAAGTCATTTCTGGCAGTTTAGGCTCCCCTAGTATAGAACAAGTGGAGAATATTTACATGGTTAAAATAAGTTCAACTTGACGGAATATCTAAAAATAGAAGACTAACACCTTGATCAGAAATTTGCTTTTGTTTCCTTGTGTTGCACTGAGGCGTTTCTTACAAAGTATCTAGAAAAATAGTGAGGGTAAGAAGCTAGGACTGGAAACATAACCAAGTGGTCGAGTTCATAAATATATATCAATAAGTTTGAAAGTTATGGACAAATTAAAAAAAATTCTACTTACTGCAGCTCGAGCTTCTGCAACTTTTGCCTTCTTCAATCTGGTTTTTGCTGCATCCAAATCTAGTCTTTTATTTTGTAATAGTTTACGTTCTTTCTGAAAGCAAGTTAGGTTAGTTCGTGAGAATAGGTACACATACTCAAAAGCAAAAGCCTGTCTACTTGGAAATTTTCTTAATGAAGTGTCACATACAAAAAGGTTCTTCAGTTGAACAGAGACAGAATTAGATCCTAATTGTTCTCACACATTTTATACTGAAGATACATACTTTTAATGGAACAATAGTTACAAAAAGCAAGTTTTCAAAATTATTTTGATTTTACCTGGTCAAAAGGAAGGAAAATACACCAAAGGCACAAATTCTACCTGACTTTTTCTACATTAGTTTGAGGAAAGCAATAATGCACAATTATCTATTACTTCATTTTGAAGACCTACAGTTACAATTGTTGTGAAACGCTAACGAATGCACAATTCAACTTACAGTAATAGTTTTGTAGTCTCCTTCAATAAAGTTTCTTAGGGGAGTGAGAAAGTTTATAGCAGAACTTTGAATTAGTTCTCTGTCTGCTGTCCCAATTCGCTTTTGTGTTTCTCCACATTTAATGAGTGCATTTCCTGCAAAGTTAAAAAAATGTTAGTTTCATAGTGACTCAAGCAGGTGGTTAACAAAACAAGTTTCTACAGGCAGGAAAGTTTAGGCCAGCAGTTTGAAAGATAATCCAATGCCATCACAAGGGCTTTCAAAAGAAATCTGAATCAGCTACAAAAAAAAACCAAAAAACAAAAAACAAAAACCACCAAACCACACAACCAAAAAAACCCCAAACACTGAACAAAAAACCCACACACACATCAGAAAAAACAACCACCCAAAACAAACCAACCTGAACACCAAACCAAACCATTTTTCTTAATAACAATGAGAATAGATACAGCATTGTAGAAGTGTCACTAACTATGGCAACTCCATTGTGAACACCTATTTTAGAACTGGCTATCATACCTACTTATTTTAATCTAACAACCTCCTCCCCTTATACCACATTTCTGTTTAAATCAGGAGTAGTTGGTAGCAAGGACAAAGCTCACTTAGCTACTGGAAAATAATGTGCTTTTCCCCAACCCCATCAACTCCAACTTCTAAATACGCATTTGTACATTAACTGAACAAAATTTTGAAATTTGGTTACGAGTTAGGTATTGAAACTGAAGTTAGCGTATCAAGAATACAGTTATTATTATTATGTTTCAACAGACTGACACGGCTGAGTTAGAAAAGATATTAAGTTTTCAGAGAACATAACATTTACCTTTTTTTTTTTTTAAGTGCACTTTCCTTCTTTTGAAAAGGAACCCCATTATTTCCAGATATAAAGAACTCATTCTTCCCAGAACAAAAGTTTTCCCCTCCCACTGCAATTTTGAAGAAAGCAACTAAAGAGAGAGCTAACTATCAGACTTTGATTGCAGACTACATTATATACAGACACATATGCATTTCAGTGGGTTAAGTTAAATTAACAGCTAAATCTGTTATCAGCAACTTTAAGAGTTGTAGAGAACACTAGAATTAGACTTTATAATTAATGACAGTGTAAAAACATTAGATATAACACCCCCAGCCCTTCTGTCATAGGTAGATAAATTTGCTGGAGAAAGAAGAAAATTTAGGTTATGTTCTACACTCTCATCTTTAGCAAAATATTATGTATTAAGAAAAGCAGGAATACTGTAAAGTTAGAGAGGCTTCTTACTAAAGAAATTAATATCGTATAACATTTTTGCTCCACATGACAAATAAAATGAATAAATGTTGTCAGATGTGCAAATGTGTTCCTTTAACGAGGAAACTAAATTCCAGAATTATTTGTTCTGGTAGGAAAATTATCTATCCACAAAGACTGTTATCATTCCAACAGCAGGTTCTCTTTCTAGATTTGGATAGAAACCTCATCATTGATCTCCTAATGCTCAAAGTTGTACAGCAAGTCATCTCAAACTGATGCAAAAGTCATTGAACTGTTTTATCTAGAGGAAGACAAGAAATATCACTTTACATTGTTAAGAAAAACTAGATCTGTGCATTTTTCCCCCCTTCATTTCTGAACACAAGACGTTTTTTTCTTCTACTTACCATAGGCTGTTCCTGGGCCAAATTCATTCCCAGCGTCAATCATATACTGGCCTAGTAACTCTGGATTATTCATGCGGCTTGGTGCTTTGCGGTCCAGCTTCTCGTAGACAAATTCTTCTATTCTGGCATCTAAAAAAAAGTTTATTTGAAATAATTACTGTCGTTCAAAGCAGAAGTTAGAAATAGAGACAAAAAAAGGAAAGGAAAGAAAAAAGAATTGCAAAATCTCACTTAATGTTGATTTTAATGTTCAGCAATGTTAAGCTGAAGATACTGTTCTTAGAAACTGACTGTATTCCATGTTTGTCATGCTATGTTCAAGTGTTTCTTAGAGCCACCTGTGAAAGTGAAAAATTATACTTTTCTTCTCCCTCCTACCAGCATATTTATACAGTTTTTCAAGGTTTTGGCCAGAAGTCTTCATTGTAAGAGCATAATAGAACACTTCTCCCTAACAAAACCAAACAGTCTTCCCCCCCCCCCCCCCCCCCGGAAAAAACTGTGAAAATTGTTCACTAGAATTAGCAGTGTAGGAATTAAGTTCAACAACTACTGTAGGTTCCCTATTAAGATATTCTGAAAGTTTGGTAGCCTAGCCCCAGAAAAATACATCTTCTCTTTCCCACTCCCCCTGCTTCCTTGAAATGCTCTGAAAGAAACCACTAAAGATATCGGAAAGTGTTCCATTTCGTATTCCCATCTTTCCTTAGTTTGAGCAACAAAATTATCAAAAAAACTTGTTGTGACTATATGGTCATTAATATCCATCTATCATAATATTAAGCCACAGTATGTTACTTAGGTGAAGAAACCTCACAGACATAAACAGGGGCACTATTAATTACAATAGCAAACTCCTCAGATACAACACCCACTTTCTCTGACCAATTGTTTTGGCTTCATAATTAGCTCACTTTATGTATGCAGTCAGTATGAACTAATTTCAGCCTGCAATAGTACAGATGACCGCAAAGCAGCTCTCCCAATGAACAAACCTGCCACTTTGATGCAACCAAAAATAATACTGTTAATTAGACAACTTTCATCAGCACTGGATTAAATAACCACTCTCTCATGAAGGGCACAAAAATTAACCTGACACAGACAAACATGGGTACCAGTGCATTCCCTGGCACCAAGGGTGAACCAAAACCAATCCAAATTCATTGGCTTTTCTTTACTCTATCCATAATATTTATTTTTGACTAAATGACAAAAGAACTGAAAAGCAATCTAAAATTATTGGACTATTACATGGGTCTGACCTAAAGGTACAGTTAAAAATGTCATTGAAAGTCGTTTTTCCTCCTCCAGACAGGGTCACTCCATTAACAACCAAAAGAAGCTCTCTACAGCACATGACAGTCCTCCCAAGTAGGCTGCCAAGCAGCTGAAGTTACATTCATAGACGAAGACCACTGCTTAACGCTGAGTATTTTTAGCCATCAGAAAATTGACTGGTCAGCATAACTGAGATTCTACCATATCGCAATTATCCTTCTACCGAATCTTCCTCACGCAGTTCTACCAGCCTACAGTTAGTGATTCAATATTCTACAATTACAAGTTTCTGAAAAAGTCAATACATATTGCAAATACTGAATTAAATGAGCAAGATGACTATTTCCTCTGGCCTAGACAAAAGCAGAAATTTGAGCTGGAATATTCTGTAAGTTCTATTGCACCCTTCCCACAGGATTAGTTGTTTTGGTTTTTATGTTTGTTTTTAAAACACTGCTTTCATGCACTAAAGGATGCAACAGACTTCCAAAATAATACTTCAAAGATCAGCATTATAAAGAATTTATCTATTTGGCATTAGAGAAGCACTATCAGTGTATGATTTACCTGTACTAATAAATCCTAACTCAGTACATCACTACAAGGAGAATATTTATGTTTTCAGTGCAGAGGTATTAGCGGTATTATAATTTTATCATTTGAGCGAACCTAAAAAGAGGTTTAGATTTTTTTTTCTAACAGCAGTTCGCCCAGTGCCTAGTGACCAGGTCTTGACTTGAAATCTATACGCTAAGCAAATTCCTATAGCTGCCAACTCCAGTACAACTGCTACAAATGGCACAGATAACTGTAGGATATGAGTCTGAAACTGATATCCTCAACATTACTACTCATAGCAGCAATTTCAGAAACAAATAAAATTAACACACCAGAAAACTACATTTCTTCTACCTATGTTTTTTCTGTTATTGTCACAGTAAGAGATTCACCAGTGATGAAAGCATATTTGAAACTTCACTATATTGCCTAAGTATGGTGTATAAAATGCCGGCAAATGATAAAGACTCAGCATCTGGAGAAAATCATTCTTTAATAAAGCAATTGTTAAAGACAGGCATTTCAGTTCATCTTGCCTGCTTCCAGCTGAATTGTATTGTGCAGACAGTTTAAAGTAATGAAATAGTACTGAAATTTCTTGAGCCACTGCATCTACTCCATGAAGAACTTCAGAGTTCTTACAGCTACCTAAGATTTCTGGAATTAGAGTGGGAAATTCAATTAAACAGGAAACAACTCAAAAACCAGTCAACCTAAGACTGACCAGCGTATGGAACCACTCTGTCTAAAGCTTTTCCCATTTGAAGGGTTAAAGAAGTAGCAGCAATTGGTACAGTGTCTCTGATTCTGAGTAGCTCTCCACAATGTGCTCTCCCTAACTCCAGCCTTCAAATTTTAAAACTGGTATATTTAGTCATAACTTATGCAATACCCATTGCAGTAAACATTTACATTGGCAAATCTATTAATTCAAAAGTTGCAAACAAAAACTTGAAGGGCTCCTTACTTGGATTTGGCTGCAATAATACTTCTGTTTGTTTCATTATTTTTTCTGTCCACAATTTAGTGCATTCTGCTTTGCTGAGAAGGTTCTCCAGGTGAGCATCCAGTTCAGTCTTCTCTGCTTGACCAAGCTTTTCTTCCGTGAACTATGAGTTAGTCAGACAGGTTGAAAACACTCAGTTAGTTCACAGAAATCATTTCCCAGGACAAGTTTAAGACAGCAACTATTCACTCGTATTAGTTGCAAATCATGTTTTCAAAGCTACAATCATTATCCAGTCATCAATAAAAATCTAAGGATAAACTTGAAAGTTCTTAAGTTCAACACATCCTTACTATCAGGAGAAAAAAGAAAAAAAAAAAAAAAAAAAAAAAAAAAAAAAAAAAAAAAAAAAAAAAAAAAAGAGAGGTGGGAGAGTGTTAGTCAGACCAAGACGAGGAAGGTGATTTACAACGTTATGAAGAAATCCTCTGCTCTACTTGGTACTGAGAGTTCTCACTTGAAGCATTTTGTCCAATTTCGCATAGTGCTCCTTGAAACATGAGCCAAAAAGGAAAGAGAGTCCAGAGGCAACAAAGGCAATTAAAAGATTACTTCAATCTTGTGTGTTTTGTAATTAAGTTTGTCCCTTCTCCCACACTAAAACCTGAAGACACAACAGATTCTCATTGCAGCTACCTTTAATGTGTTTAAAGAAACATTGTTCTGCCCAGAGCAAGCGGGATAAAAAGTAGTGATTATGAACTTCAGCATGAAGATTTAAATTAGACATTAGAGAAAGCTTAAAAAGGATTAAAAGCTAAAATAGACTTCCCCGGGATGTTGTGGAATATCTGTCTTTGGGGGTGAGGAGGTGTTTTGCTTTTTAGAATGGGACAAGTCAATGTTTTATGAACTGTTTAGATATAACTGAGCCTGTTATGCGTTACAGAAACGGTAAGATGATCTCTGCTGTTCTCTTCGAAGCTGTTTTCAGTGGCAATGAAATACAACGTAACCCCATTTAGCTAAATAAATCCAGCAGACAATTCATTTCACTTGATAGTAAATTCACGCCAACCCTTACTAATCCACAAGGAGTTTGTACTTCGATCCCAGTTCTCTGGGAGAGGGGGAAGCCACGCGTTTCAAATCAGGGAGCCAAGCAAAACCGGAACTGAGGGTTTTGCCTGCCTCTCTTCAGAGCAGTGGTTCCTCATGACAACGATGATCTCATCACTTGACAGCCTGTTCAAAGTCAGGCATTTTCAGAAGAACCTGGCTTATGATTACATCCCTAACAAGCTTACCAATTAAGAACATAATAGGACTGGAAGCATTTTTGACTGTCAAACTTCATTCTTAAGTTTCTCAAAAGTTCTTTGGTGGGATATTTAAACTTGCAGTAAGAAACAAGAATACAGCACAAGCAAATTGCATTGCCCAAGTTTGTTTTAATTGCCATCACATGCAGAATAAGACCAACTTTGATAGCATGCACGTCTAAAGTCTAGATAAATGCTGTGGCATTTGAAGTTCTCCATAAAAGCAAACTGCCTTTGTGAGAAAGTTCAGTTGCAGCATACGGAAGAATGGAATTTATTTATGGATGTATTACTACTACTGTTTAAAAGACTCTTTAAAAAGATGTCAGGTACTGTAAGCTGTTCTCAAAAACTTTGTACAGATTTATCATAATACAATATTAATAGCTTTGAAATTATTTTTTACTAACTACAGAGAGTATTTTTATATAAAATGGGCTTTCTTATTAATATTCCCATAAATCTTCTCAGCAGTGTGAAGATTGCTTAGTGAAGATTGCAGTGTTAGATTTCACATATACACTTAAAGGAAAACGTTACTTTTAGCGATACTCGGCAGCGTGGTGAGCAGTAGTTTGACAGAAGTATGGTTTCCAGCATCGATGTAATGCAGCAATGCTGCCACTCTGATTTCCCATCTCGGTTACCCTGAAACCTAAATTTGAACTGGTCTTTCTGTTTTATATCCTTTTTCAGACATTACTCTGTCCCTTAAGGATAAGAACAGAATAAGGAAGGTGGTGCTATAAATCGGGAATTTTTCTTCTGCCTAGAAAAACTGTTCCAAGATAGGCAGATACTAATGATTTTCTACTTTGATTAGAGCTCTAAGAGTTTTGTTTTCCTTTTTATTAAAGCTTAAAACATGTCATACAGAGATACTTAATGTAAGCACTTGCTGGAACAAATCATATCAGTAAGCCATCTAATCCATCCATCTATTTTTATTAAATTCAAAATATATACACAAGTTGCCTGAATGTGACCAGCTCACGCAGAAGGAAATTGTAGTTTTGTATACAACTGGGTTATCACAGCCCAATAGACATTTGAGGTCTACACTGCAAAATTACTAGAAGGAGAAATTACATTAAGATAAGCCTCTAACTTCAGGTAGAAGTCATGAACAATAAAAGTGTTTCTGCTACCAAAGAGTAAAAGCCCAGCTCATTCCTGACCACTACACAGGCAGCTTGTCAATTACAGAGCCTGGCAAGAGGAAGGGCTTGCATTCCTATTACTAAACTCTATGGCATTATTTATTTCACCTCAAATACCACTAACTATAACCATTTGCTACTTTGTTCCACAAATTGCAACTACTGCAAGACTGACTGAGAACGACTCCTTCAAAGCATTTTCTGCCTGCCAGAAGGAAGGGTAGGCTTCGGACGAAGACGGCCAGTAGGCTTGATTTTTCTGTATGTTACTAACTAGAACATGGCACTCTGAACACAGTATAATCTCATCCACAGAAGGAACAGGTTTCCGGGAACATGAATATCAGGTGGTTTGGGGTAAGAGAGCCCCAATCCCCTTGTAACAGAAAAGTCTGATAAGTCTGTGAAACACTAACAAGATGTTCCCCATCTTGTAAGACAGCTGAATTACGAGTTAAAATGGAATTTTTAAGTGGTTTTCCTACATACCATTTTATGCTGCTGAACTGTTTCATAGGGTTTGGTGGGGTCTTTTGTTTCTAATATCCCAAAGCAATTAGTGTCAGGTCATACCACGTCATCCAATGATACCTAAGTTTAACTCAATATACAGCACTGTAATTTTTACTAGAGGACACAAAATCTACACCCAGATGATATTAAAAAAAAATCCACAAAATTATTACCTCTTAATATTATCTGTAGGCCTTACATAGTAACTTAAAAAAACAACAGGGGAAGCAACAGTAGCACACAGAATATGAGTCACTCAGATTATAAGAACATGTTAAGGATTTGCTCCTGCCCCTCAATGGCTTCATTAAACTTCTCGTTCTAGGGGAAAATGGCAGCTGGTAGAGCAAAATTATTACTTCCACATTTCCACTGAATTTTAGGTTAGATGAAGCATATAACTAATGTACCTATTCAGATGTAAACCAACAATGCAGATAGAGCATACTGGAGTAAACCACAGTTCACGCCACCTTTAAACCATGACACACAGCAGAAAGCAGAAACCTACATTAGATTTAGTGCAATAAGCTGATTTACATGTAAAGGGTCAAGATAAGAGAGATGAAATCACAAGGTCCTATCACAGGATCTTACAATGAAGGGTGAACGGCCAGCAAGAAAAGGGAAAGGGGAGGAGGCTGGAAAGGAAGAGATGGTCTGGGAAACTTGTAGACCTGGAAGAAGCCCGGGGAGGGGGGAAGATGGAAAGACCTCCGTCACAAAGAGAAGCCACAACGACTGCTTTAAGGTCATTTAAATTTGAACAACAATGTTTTCTGACGAGTTTGCAGTTTCAGAGATCTGCTGTGCTGCTGATCATTGGTTCTGCTTGAATATTGAGATTTAGGGCAACACGTCAGACCGATTGGGCCCGATAACAACTTTAATCACGTTCCAAACCTGACAGTGACCCAGCGAGAACTCATGAGAAACCCAAGTGGATTACTGTGCGCTGCTTGGATGTCCACCTCCCGGCAGGAAATCTGTTCAGGTTTGATTATATAAAGAAAGGGGATTACGGCTCAAGACAACAGCGAAGGAACAAAGGCCAATTATAGTGCCCTTAGCGTGGAGAAAGGGGAAGACCGATTCAGAAACAATGGGCTATCAAACAAGCTTAAAAACGATACTAAAGCTCAAACAAAACCAAAAAGCCTAAGCGGACAGACACTTTCACGTGTCACATCGGAGCTCGATTTCTACCGATCGGGCGGCGGGGCAGATTTTCAGCAGCCCGGAAAAGCACAAGATGATGTCAGGCGAGACACACCTTTGTCCTCTTCACACAGGCGTTCCGACCCTATCTCCTCGCAGCTGGTCCCTGCTCAGCTCGCCTCCCCAGCCCCGGCGCCTTCTCCCCTCTTTGCCTGTCCTGACCTTGGGCTGCCTCTCCCCGCCACCCCCCGGGGCCGCTGCTTTGCAACCAGCCTGGGCGAAATCCCCGGGTCCTGCCCAGCCCAGGGCTACCAGGGGACCCCCGGGGGAAGGACTGGCTTGAGAGGGAGGCACCTCGCAGCAGACCATCGCTGCCCGGACAGGCCAGAGGGCTGGGTTCACCCCTCGCCAGCGCGGCCGGGC